TCATTAAATGTGTAATTGAGTTACAGTAGAAGGAAAATCTATTCACACATAGTTTTTATAACGATGGAACACTAAACTATGACTATGACTATGACTAGACTATGACTAGACTATGACTAGACTATGACTAGACTATGACTAGACTATGACTAGACTATGACTAGACTATGACTAGACTATGACTAGACTATGACTATGACTAGACTATGACTAGACTATGACTAGACTATGACTAGACTATGACTAGACTATGACTAGACTATGACTAGACTATGACTAGACTATGAGCTAGAATATGACTAGACTATGACTAGACTATGACTAACTATGACTAGACTATGACTAGACTATGACTAGACTATGACTAGACTATGACTAGACTATGACTAGACTATGACTACTATGACTACTATGACTAGACTATGACTGACTATGACGAACTATGACTAGACTATGACTAGACTATGACTAGACTATGACTAGACTATGACTACTATGACTAGACTATGACTAGACTATGACTAGACTATGACTAGACTATGACTAGAACTATGACTAGACTATGACTAGACTATGACTAGACTATGACTAGACTATGACTAGACTATGACTAGACTATGACTAGACTATGACTAGACTATGACTAGACTATGACTAGACTAGGACTAGACTATGACAGACTATGACTAGACTATGACTAGACTATGACTAGACTATGACTAGACTATGACTAGACTATGACTAGACTATGACTAGACTATGACTAGACTATGACTAGACTATGACTAGACTATGACTAGACTACGACTAGACTATGACTAGACTATGACTAGACTATGACTAGACTATGACTAGACTATGACTAGACTATGACTAGACTATGACTAGACTATGACTAGACTATGACTAGACTATGACTAGACTATGACTAGACTATGACTAGAATATGACTAGACTATGACTAGACTATGACTAGACTATGACTAGACTATGACTAGACTATGACTAGACTATGACTAGACTATGACTAGACTATGACTAGACTATGACTAGACTATGACTAGACTATGACTAGACTACGACTAGACTATGACTAGACTATGACTAGACTATGACTAGACTATGACTAGACTATGACTAGACTATGACTAGACTATGACTAGACTATGACTTTACTATGACTACCCTATGAAATTTTCTTGAAATTCAAAATTCGCACAAAAATTCTGTTGCTTACTGTAAAATTATTTTGCTTGAAAAAACATCAAAAAGTACATATTATGTATAATTCTGCACAAGTTTAAATAAATAATTTTTAATAACAACAAAAAATACATAGTTGTTTTCAATAACAACAAATAACCTTTAACCGCAATAGACTCCCATACACAGCCCTACAGTTTTACAAAGTAGCTATGTAGCAACCTTATTAGTACAGCATAGGGATGCCAATCCCGAAATCCCGATCCCGAAAATCCCGGGATTTTTCGGGATTGGCAAATCCCGAATCCCGGGATTTGGAAAATAAATCCCGGGATTTTTTCGGGATTAAGATATCCCGAAACCCGGGATTTTTCAAAATAAATCCCGGGATTTGTTTCAAAAAACTGTTTTTATTTTCTTTTTTTGAGCCATAATTTTCATTAATTTGAAAATTACGATCTTATTTTATTTTCGACTCATGCAAAACAAAATTCCGCAGAGCTAATTTCATACATATTTGAACCTTTTATTTTTTAAAGTGGTATGATTCCATACACATAGCACATATAAATTTATTTATTCACTTCGTTTTTATACCCTACAACACTTTAGTGGGGAGGGTATATTGGGTTTGTGCCGATGTTTGTTACGCACAATAATATTGGTCCTATACCCACCTTAAAGTATACCAATCGGCTCAGAATCATTTTCTGAGTCGATTTAGCTATGTCCGTCCGTCCGTGTAAACCTTGTACAGCAATTTTGAAGATAATTAAATGAAATGTTGCATGATCTTCTATTGTACTAGAAACGGATTCTATTGAAAATGGGTAACATCGATCCAATGTTTGACCTAGCCCCCATACAACTGAACCCCCCGAATAGGGCTTTTAAGTTCATAATTATGTTCAATATACTCGTATCTCGACAAAAAGCTGCAAAACCAAGTTCTATACTAGCCTTCATGACCCTGATGTATTTTTTGATGATACGGCCTCATTTAACCCTAGCCCCTATACAAAGCCCCCTTCGAAATATGACTTACATGTACACAATTTTATTCAACAAAAAATAGCTAAAGTATATCTGAGGCAAGGTACAATTCAACTTAGATGCTTTATTATGAACAATAAATCACATTTTATTTTTATAACTGGTGTAGGGTATTATATGGTAGGCTTCGCCCAACTATAACTTTTTACTTGTTAGCACATTGCAATGTTGGTCGTAGACCGACCCAAAAAGTATACACATTCTGTGTCTGTAAGCTGAAAACACGAGTTAGAAGACTCATTCTATTTGGGCTGCAAATTTGGACCAAAATTGACACAAGAAAACCTAATTGGACCTCCTCTGAAAATCACATTGATGCTCATATTAATATCAATACATTACAATATTTTGATGGTGGGTATTTAATTTCGGCACAGTCGAATACAAACTTTATTTTTCAATAGAGGTTCTAAATTGATGTTCGAATAATTGAATTGGTATCTGTTATAATTATTAGTTCACATGGAACAGTATGAGGTTTTAAAAAGTGATTATGTCTAATTTCGGAACTTGATATTTATTTTTATTTAGGATGTAAGTATGTATTTAAAAAGTTTCAGAAATTATGCAATTCTGAAAGTTTTTATTTAAAAATTGGAATTAATTGGATTGTTTTAATTTAAATATATCTTCTGTCTGCTAAATTTCCACAAAATTAAACAATTTTCTTTACAAATATGATGATTTAAAGATTTTCATATATAAAATAATTAAATTCATGTAATCCCGAAATCCCGTAAAATCCCGAAATCCCGAAAAATCCCGGGATCCCGAAAAATCCCGGGATCCCGAAATATCCCGGAATCCCGGGATTGCAATTTTCAAAATCCCGAATCCCGGGATTTGTAAAAGCCAGTCCCGTTTGGCATCCCTAGTACAGCAGGAGTTAAATAAATCCAAAGCCTTTAAAATAATTCATCATTCAGACCGATATGGTACCACAGACTGCAGGTATTAAGTGAATTTTATGCATATTTTATGTTTGTAGTTAGGAGATCGAATTCATTTATGCATGTATGTACTAAAAATGCAAGTTAATGGAATACAACATTATTATGTGCAATGGAAAGGAAACGGAAATGTAATAGCTACATACACACACTCATAGTAAAGCCACATTTATATTACACACAAAGCACTCACACATTTACCCAGTATATTTCAATGGTGTTTTATAAAAAAATAAACCAAATATATAAATAAAATTCCCTTTTAAAAAAGTAAAACTAAATTGTTGCAAAACTCATCAGCATACACATGTGTAAAGTTGCTTTAGCGGGTTATGAGTGAGTATTCGCTGTGGGTTTTTTTTTTTGCAAAAGCCACCCATAAATATACTTGTATTTAAAGTGAGTATTTTTTCATTTATTTATTTCCCTTACTTTTCAAATTACTTGTCCTTGCTGGCAACAAGCATGTTAAAGTCTTTATAACCGTTATATTTTATTTTAGCTTTTAAACATTTTCGTGCAAGGAAAAATTTTACCAGCCATCTTTCGCCATAATAAATTCAATTTATTTATTTGTTTTTTTTTTATTATTTCTCTCTCTTCGCATAACTAAGGTAATTTCAGCTATAATATCATCAAAGAGTTTACGTAAAGCTACCTTTACTTTTACATAATATTTTTTAGCTTTGGGGTTTGAGGGTTTTCGAGGGAAAATTTTGTTCATAATACTTATACATTATTTTGTCTATGACTGGAGGCATTGTCTTTATCTGATACTAATTTACGTAATATTTAATAAAAGTTAAAATTGGCCAAAATAAATTGTTTAAAATCAATAACTAGAACCATATTAAAACAAGTAGGAAAGTATAGTCGGGCATGGCCGACCATATAACACCCTACACCATGAGTATATTTTAAAAATTTTTATTTTTCACAAAGAAACTTTTATGTTGAATTTTACCTTAATTCCAAAGTATTTAAGCAATTTATTGATAAAAAACCAAATTTTCTAAATGAGGCTTTATATAGGAGTATAGGTCAAACATGAGCCGATCCTCATTAAATTTTGGAGAAGGATATATTTTTAAATAATAGTTAATTATGTTGAGTTTCATTGCGATACAAATGGTTACAAGTCAATTTTAGACGTTTAAGACATTTTTTGAAGGGGGGTTTGTATGGGGGCTAGGGTCAAATAAGGGGCGATCATTACGAAAATCTGCTGTGTAATTTATACTTATATAAAACTTATTTGTGCCAATTTTTAGAGAGATATTAGTATATTTGACGTAATTGTGGCATAAAAAGCCCAAATCGGGAGGTACGGTTGTATGGGGGCTAGGTGAAATAATAAACCAATTTCAACCAGCCAGCCAGCCGGACAGACGGACGGACGGACGGACGGACATGTCTTAATCGACTCAAAATGTGATTCTGAGTCGATCGGTATACTTAAAGGTGGGTATAGGACCAATATTTTTGTGTGTTACAAACATCAGCACAAACGTATAATACCCTCCCCACTATAGTGGTGTAGGGTATAACAAAACTAAAAAATGTATAGAACAAAGTTAGAGTCGATTTTAGTTTTCGAACAAATAAGGCTTTGTTTTTCGATAATTCGGTAGTATTTCTTTTCAATTAAACAAATTCTTATTAAAAATTTTAGAATATAACTTACCTTTTAATTTATTTGCGTTTAAATCTTAAAATTTATATTGAGAACAAAATTTAACAGGATAACTTTAAAAATAACTGTAAAAGAATAGAAAAAACAAGAAAATATTATTGTATATCAAAAAAATTATAATATAATTTAAATTTAAAGTAGTAATAGACTAAAATAAAAAATTTTATATTAAAAAAGTATATATAAAGTTATACACATACAACATGATACTGTTTACAGTCTTTTTAAAGAATTTTCTTTTTAGATTTTTCATTGCTTTTTACAGTTTTGAATTAAACCAAAATTTATATTTAAATGAAATAAATAGTTCAACACGAGGGGGAAGGAGGTTGTTAATATAAGAGTTAAATCTTTGGAAATATGTATATAAAGTATATAATTATAACATAAACTTACTTAATTTTTAATAATATTTGAATTTAATATTTTGAAATAACGCATTATATGTTCACCCAAATGTTCGCTGATGTAGAAGGACCAATCTAAGGTCTGTTGACGTCTATAACCGCCAGATGCTAGAGAGCCACCCGTTTGTAGTAAATCGTAAAGAGAATCGGAGGTCATTTTAATAGAGGAGGTGTGCAAGAAATTCATAATACGTTCATTGGTATAGCTGACATCCTGGAAACGATATAAATTAAGTGTAAATTTTAAAAATTACAAAATTTGAAAAATTCTATTTCTATTTAAAAAATTAACTTACTTCCTCTATATCTTCTCTTTCATGTTTCAAATGTACATAGTACAAAGTCTTATCCTGATTGTCGACTGTTATCTCCACCTTATCGACAGGAAAAGCAAATTGTAATTTATCCCACTCAGCCTCGGTAATGGCAAATACAGCTGATGTTAAGAAAACATAACCACGCTTAAGTTGATCTTCCACTGACAAAGTGATTTCATGATAGAATAATATTTGATCTGAAGATAATTCCACCGGCAATAATTTCCATATACGATAACCAGATGGTTCGGTGGCCAAATTGCGGCAGATAGAGGGACAGCGTTGTTTAGGCATGGCATTAAAGCCCACTGTTTGCAGCATGCCTTGACCAGCTAAAGCCAACAACTCAGCAGCACCACTAATGGGTTTTGTAAATGCTCCCACCAAACCTTTGCTAATACCGGTAAACACCTCGACCGGAGAACGAGCCTCGAGGGTATGATGTGCCAAACCTCCTACAGCACCCAAAATACTTATACCCAAACCAGTCATGCCTTGTGAAAAACCTTCGGTGAAACCTTGTGGTCGAGAACGTCTTAAAGCCTCGGTTCTTTCGATATGCTCTTCATCCAAAGTTAAACGATCCAAATTTCTAGCCACTGAGGCTGCTAATTTTGTTACCGAATTCACTGTGCCAGCAGTTACATTTCTTAATAAGGAAGCTGAGCCTTGTGTAACTCCCACAATAAAACCCCAGGGTCCTCGAAACAAACCTTGTACCGGTAGGGAAACAAAATCTTTTAAGCCAGTGGTAACAGAACGTGCTAAACCACTAGGGCTGCCCAAGATCTCCAAAGAACCTACCACCCAGCCAGCACCAAATATTGCACCAGATAAATAATGCATACCCAAAGATTGGCCAAACTTTAGAGGCAGAGTTAATAGATGTGAACGTTCATACGAAGAAAACGATAAAGGTGAATGATCCAAAGCGATATATAGTCTTACAGAAGTATGCACCGACAATAAAACGCTCATGGGTTCTATGCAAAACGTTCTCAATTGCAAAGGTTCCGCTGCATAGATAGCTTGAGCTTCCACATCTTTGGGTATGCTAACTTGGTTCTCCACCAAAATTTTACGTTCATATTCTAATTTTGGCTTGTAGGCACAGTTAGAGGGTTCACACTCCACTAAGGCGTCTAAGAAGTCGGTTATATAAGCATCCTCTATGTAAGCCCTTACCGGACTCAATTTACAATTCAAAGAATTCATTTTGAATTCATCTTCAAACAGTTTCAATTTAACATTAATCATTAAGTTCTTTTCCTTCAATATTTTATAATAAGTTTCCAAATAAAATGGCTCGGGTAAACAGTCAGTTTTCTCATATAACTCTTCGGCACATAATATAACAGGAAAATCATATTTTCCGGTGGAAAACAATTGATTATCTATTTGTAAGTTAGGTATCACTATATTCATCGTGCGTTCATCTTCGTTGTCTTCATAGGCTATCAGCAGATCATCGGCATATATGGCGACCACTTCACGTTTCATATACTGACGTGTGCTGTTGTCGGTGTGTAGACTTAAATTTATTTCCTTAACAAAGAATCTTATTTTCAGATCCTGTCTTAGAGTATCACAATCATTACGGAAATGCTGACAAACTTCGGTATTTAGTTGTTGGGAGGTTTCTTGGCAAATTTTCGTTGTTGGATGTAGTAATGAAGAGGAGGAAGTTTGTTCAGTTGTTGGAGAGGGTTCTTTGGGCTCGGTGGTGGAGAGACGTGAACGTAAATCTTTTACGGAGAACTCCATTTGCTAAAATTTTTCGAATAATAAGAATATATTAAGAAATATAGATTTATACAAGATCTTAAAAGAATTTCAGAATATAAGATTTTTAAATTATGTACGAAAATTCTAAGTTATTCGAATTTAAAAGACAATTTTAGAGTCTATAACTTCATTTTATAAGATTTCTTCTGAATGATTATGATTATAGGAACTTACCTGTGATATATAATAAATATTTAATCTAATAACACGATGTTTATCACAGATTATAACTTTAACATCACCATGGCCAGGTATGTGCAAGAATTTCTTCCATGTTTTATCCAAACGTATAAGTTTAGACCATTTTATAGATTTTTTGGTAGATAAATCTTAAAAAAAGAAACAAATTGTTAAAATTAAAATATAATTTAAATATTCAGATATCAATTGCAATAAAATTAAAACCAAAAACTTACCATCAAATAAAGCCAAAGTAATATTGCACAAAGTAGTCTCCACATCGGGAAAATGGTTATACCATTCAGGAGGTGTATAATAGGATTTACTTTGTTTAGGTATCACATGATACCATTCCAAATGTTTGCCCTCATATTCCGAGGTCGTAGAGGATACCTTACTATTTTCGCCAGCATTTGTTTGTGCGATTATAAAAGGACAATCGGTTTGATTATTAAGCAAAACTGCGGGACTCACATCTTCGAAAATGGTTAAATAGTAAACCTGTTCATGTTCAATCAGTGATACCATTAAAGCTATAGACTCTCGACCATTCTGTATACTAAAACATTTACGATTAAAGGGCAACGTTAAGGGAATGGGTATGGAAATTTCCGAATCGGTACAATGTTTTATTACAACAAAATAAATAAACGCCGAATCTACGGAACGTTGTGCACATTGAGCATTTATATCATAGAATTGACTTAGCGAAATGCCTATACTGTTTTGTTTATAAGGGGTAGCTCGTAATACTGTTTTAGTCGTATTATTATCTAAATGTTCTACATCTTTTCGCGCTATACTCTCCTTATGATCCATGGCAAATGGTAAAATACATAAACGATTTTTGGTATGATTTACTACGGCAAATTTTGAAGATAATTTAAACATTTTACGATTATTTTCTATTTTTAAAGTTAAAATAAATTTGACCACTTCATCGCCTCTCAGGATGACAATGTCAGTGTAATCGCCTTCGGTAACGGTATAGAAATGTTTACTTTGTGTGACTATGGCATTTTCCAAATATATAGGCAAGGATTGTATCCAATTAGAGCCATTACGTATGCCTATGCTAAATCCTTGTGATATATTGAATAACATTTCCAAGCCATTGGCATCTACCTTAAGTTCTTTGGGCTGTATACCCAACTCACAAATGCGCACTTGTAGCCCTGTGGCATTTATAAACATACCCCAGGGAGCCACCTCCAAATTAAGGGTACATGAAAATTCTCTCGTAACTCTTGTATTATAGATAACATCTATACCATGATTCGATTCCGAGATTCTTTTTACTTTTAACTCTTCTTCATCGTTTAAGGGCCAATTTCTTGCTACAGGTTTAGCTAAAATACTTAAAGTATTTTCTATACTCCATTTTTGTTCATCATACCAAAAGAATTTTTGCCAATCTAAAGACTTTAATTTTAGTGTATAATTTTTGGCTGAAGCTGTGCCTAATGGAAAGCCGTACATGAAATCTATGTTATGTTCTGTTAAATGAGTAGCTGGCACATCGAGTATGTGACGTGCACCTTGACCAGGTAAATGTATTTCTGCTTCTTTTCCCGTTGTTTCCCTGGCCTGTATGGCACAACTTAGCATGGAGGAAATTTCAAATATGGGCCATATTGTGATGAGTATCTTTTGAGGATAAAAGTTTTCGCTTGCTAGATCGGGAATATCTTCTCTTAGTACTCTTATCCAGAAGCTTATAAATTCGTCGCTGTTGATGGGGACTACAAAGGGGGGGAAATTGTTGAAATATATGAAGTAAGTAAATTAGTAAGTTAGTAAGTTAATAAGTTAGTAAGTTAGTTAAAGTTACTAAGTTAAGTAAGTTAGTTAGTAAGTAAGTTATTAAGTTAAGTAAGTTAGTCAGTTAGTCATGTTGGAGTAAAGGTTCAGTCTGTTAGTAAGTTCGTCTGTTCGTCCGTTTTGGGTCAGTTCGTCCGTTCGGTCCGTTAGTCCGTAAGTTCGTCCGTTTCGTCCGTTCGTCCGTTCGTCAGTTAGTCCGTTCGTCCGTTCGTCCCGTTCGTACGTTCGTCCGTTCGTCCGTTCGTCCGTTCGTCGCGTGTCGTCCGTTCAGTCCGTTCGTCCGTTATGTCGTTCGTCCGATTCGTCCGTTCGTCCGTTCGTCCGTTCGTCCGTTCGTCCGTTCGTCCGTTAGTACCGGTTCGTCCCGTTCGTCCGTTGATCCGTTCGTCCGCTTCGTCCGTTCGTCCGTTCCGTCCGGTCGTCCGTTCGTCCCGATTAGTCCGTTCGTCCGTTCGTCCGTTCGTCCGTTCTGTTCCGTTCCGTCCGTTCGTCCGTTCGTCCGTTCAGTCCCGTTTCGTCCCGTTCGTCCCGTTCGTCCGTTCCGTCCGTTACGTCCGTTCGGTCCGTTCGATCCGTTCGTCCGTTCGTCCGTTCGTCCGTTCGTCCGTTCGTCCGTTCGTCCGTTCGTCCGTTCGTCCGTCCGTCCGTTCGTCCGTTCGTCCTTTCGTCCGTTCGTCCGTTCGTCCGTTCGTCCGTTCGTCCTTTCGTCCGTTCGTCTGTTCGTCCGTTCGTCCGTTCGTCCGTTCGTCCGTTCGTCCGTTCGTCCGTTCGTCCGTTCGTCCGTTCGTCCGTTCGTCCGTCCGTCCGTTCGTCCGTTCGTCCGTTCGTCCGTTCGTCCTTTCGTCCGTTCGTCCGTTCGTCCGTTCGTCCGTTCGTCCGTTCGTCCGTTCGTCTGTTCGTCTGTTCGTCCGTTCGTCCGTTCGTCCGTTCGTCCGTTCGTCCGTTCGTCCGTTCGTCCGTTCGTCCGTTCGTCCGTTCGTCCGTTCGTCCGTTCGTCCGTTCGTCCGTTCGTCCGTTCGTCCGTTCGTCCGTTCGTCCGTTCGTCCGTTCGTCCGTTCTCCGTTCGTCCGTTCGTCCGTTCGTCCGTTCGTCCGTTCGTCCGTTCGTCCGTTCCTCCGTTCGTCCGTTCGTCCGTTCCTCCGTTCGTCCGTTCGTCCGTTCGTCCGTCCGTTCGTCCGTTCGTCCGTCGTCCGTTCGTCCGTTCGTCCGTTCGTCCGTTCGTCGTTCGTCCTTCTCCTTCTCCTTCTTTCCTGTGCTTTGTCCTCCTTCCGTTTTGTTTCCCCCCTTCCCTTTCCCCCCCCCCGGTCCTTTCTTCTTCGTTCTCCCTGGTCTCTCCCCTGTCCGCGCCCTTCTCTTCTTCTCCGCCCCTTTGCGTCTGCCCCTCGTCCCCCCACCCTCCCCCCCTCTTTCTTCTTTCCCCCCCCCCTTCCCTTTCCCCCTCCCTCCTTGATCTATCTTTGCCTTCTGCTCTCCTATGATAAAATGAATTGCGACCCCTGTTTCTCTAATATACTCCAAAGATTTGTGTGCCACTTCGTCCGCTTTACCCTCATGACGGAATTCCAAACGTAAATTATGCGAAACCATTGATACCAATTCTATTTGACCCTTAATTAAAACGAATATTTGAGAACTGGATAGTTTACGCAATTTAACTGTGATAACTTTATTTCCAACACGTAAAAATTGTTCCATATGTTGGCTTTCGAATTTGAAAGGTATATGTAACGACATAGAAGTATCCACTGTATTTGTTTCCTCATCCGTTATATAGAAAGTCAATTCCTGATTATGATAATCACTGCGAAAAGAATACAAATAACATTCTTTGAGGTTTAATTGTATGCGTTCATGAGTACCAGTTTGACCAAAAGCCAGACAAGTCATGGTACGATTTACTATAATACATTTAGGTATTAAGGCGTGACGTATGCGGCGCTCATCCAAATCCAAACACTCAGACCAATGATTTTTCGAGGAGAGAAGCGTATGTATAATGGCTGGGCCTATATTAAACTGTAAACGATCAAATACAAAATTGGCATTTAAGATATTTTTCTTTTTATCTATTTCCATATAAGATTGCACAGTAGTCTCTTCCATTAGGGAAATCATATTAAGGAAACCATAATCCAAACATTTTACATTGGCATTAAAAGCCACATTTAAATTGAATTTTTGTTTGTCGTAAAAAGTGGAATGAAATTTAATATTTTGCACCATCAACATTAAAAACGCTTGTGATATATGAGTAGTTTTGGCCAAATGGAATTTCTTGAGAAGCGGTGGCAAATCGGCATTTTCATCTGGCTGATTGAGAAGTTTAACTTTAAACAAATTGCAGCTAAGTAATAACTGAACTTTTGGCACACAATTCGATTGGAATGTAGTATCAACACGCATACAACCTACTAATACTTTGGGATGTAAAATAAAATCAGCATCTTGACGACCTTTGCCCAATACTTCATCTATATTCATGCTGGCTATAGAATGCAATTCCTCGTCCTCTTCACTGGTATCGAAACATTCACCATTTACCGAGACTAAAGATTGTAAAATAACTACACGCCATATGGTGGCACAGATTTCACGTTCCGGTAGTTTAATATCTTTGGAATTGGTCTCCGAAAGCCATAAATCACAGTAATGTAGAAAACATTCATGAACTTCACTAAAGTATTCCATGCGACATTTAATGTGTATGGGATTTTCCACCTGGAAATAAAATATTAAGAAGTATGTTGTTTGTTAAATTTCTAAATATCTTAAAGGATTTTTGTTTTAAATGCTTACCGCCATGGGCACTGGATAAATATGAATTTTACACATTTTTCTAGGTTGCGGGTAACGCCAACATATTATGCCATAATCTTTTTTAATGATTTGTATTTGATAGGGTAGAGGCAAAACACTGTCAGACATTAATTCTACAAATTGAAAAGCACCAGCTCTGAAAATAGTTTTAAGAACATGTTAGAATGTTATATTGGACTGTGAAAAATCGTATAGACCCAAGATCAGAACTTTTACCATGTTTAAATTACATCGGAACGATTTTTTAATTCAAACTTTTTTGAAATAATAGCGGACTGACGGACATTTTGTTTTGGAACAATGTTTTCAACATTTTTTTATTCAAACTCTTAAACTTTGTTGTTGTTGTTATTGTAACAGTTCGACTGTGGCCGATAGTTCTTTCCTGGGGAAAAAACTTTCGGTTGATACAGCTGTCGCTTGTCGGGTTGACAACATTTGCATTTGACTTGGGTCGTTCCGGACCGAAAATTCAATTGCCATGGGAACGCTTGAACTCTCTTCAACCTGTTTGCTTGTTTTAATCTTATAGATCCTCTCTCTCCTGGTCTCGAGCATGTCTTTAACAGACAGACGGACGGACAAAAGGACAAATTCTCGGATAGTCAGACATTTTTTAATAACAACAATTTAAATTTTTCTCTTACCTCAAATCATCCTGATAGAATTCCTCTCTTTTAATACTTTTATTATTCTGTATAAACGAACTAACATTTGGACATTTTAAAGGCTTTAATTGCTTCAATTTAGCCTCATTATTTTCACCCTGATCATGTAAATGTAAACGTTGAAAACGTAACAATTCCTCTCTTACATAACTGAGTATTGTATTCAAATCATGGACAGCTTGTCTTAATTGTAAGATCACATAAATTCCCAAATCAATTTGTATAACATTAAATTTAACAATACAATTAATAAGAGGCAAACGATTCCAGGGTTCACTAACAAAATCCATGGAACCCTTAAGTGAAATGGGATGTACAAACACCTTTTTACTCGTACGTAGATACACAGCTCCCAAAGAATACTTCGCCGAACATTTTTCGGGACGTGTGAGATATTTAAGATTTACTTTAAGATCACTGAATACCAATTTACATTCATACTCCTGATGATCGGTGAGTTTGAGAGCAATATTGTTACATTTGAAATTCAAACGATCGGCATTTAGAGTATTTCTTTTCATAAGCATAATTTTCGATGTACGATATAGCGGTCCCTCATAGGGCAGGCTAACGCAAGTGTACACTTGCAAGGCATTATAGATAATCATTATATTGCGGCATATTTCGGCTACATTACGTTCACTTATGGTGATCACCAAAGGTTTGGCAAACTCAATGTCAATTTCACGCATTTTTAATTTGGTCAAATGTGCTTTATAAGTGAACAGTGAAGGAGGTATGCCAGTAGAAGTCAAATCCCCGGGCATGGTATCAATTATATTTTCTGGAAATAAATTGGTTGGTAATTTGGTTTGTAAACCATCCATGGTGGGTAAATATACACTTAAATTGAATATAGAAAAGTTAACGACAGAATCATAAATATTTTGTGTAACCATAAAACTGGGCTGAGATATGGTAAATGATATTAAAGGTTTTTCCAATTCTTCAACCTCAAATAATACTTGAGTTTCTGTGTCATTGCATTTGGAATCGAATATTTTAAATAGAAATACTCCTGCTACAAATGAAACAGTTCTCGGTAGAGATTTTGGTGGTGTTTGATTATTTTGTGGATATTCTGTTAGTTTTTCCAAAATAATATTAGTTGAACTGGATTTGGCTGAATGTAAAATGTCTTTTGTTGTTATAGAGCGTTTCGATGATTGAGACACAACACCCGAATCGATTTTGCCCGCTGGTGGTTCTGAGTCTTCATCAATAGACTCAAATTGTGTTTGAGAACCTAAACGACTGAAACGTCTTATCTCAGGATGGACAGTTGTGGTCTTTGTTAAACTATTAAGGGATTTAATTGTACGTAGCACTGTTGTAGAGTGGGAACTTTCAGGTGAATAGAAGATAGTAGTTTCAGATGGTGATTTTGAATTAACAGCTGCTGCAGTAGAAGGTTTCAGTTTGCAAACCTGATTAACAGTTCTAAAATGGAAATATTTTATAAATTATGGATTTATTAGTTTTTATCTTATATCTACTTACTCTGATATCTTTTGCAATCTTCTCAAATGACAGCTAAACATATTCAATTGATCCGTATTAATGCTAGCAATAAAATCTGTAGCACAATTAAACTCTATAGCCTGGCCACAAATTAAAATATTATTATAAACTATATTCGGAGCATAGGTGGCTATTAAAGTGAAATTTTTGAATATTTCATTTAATTTCAAAGATTGCTTACGCTCTGGATTATTCCATTCCACTGCCGGATTAGTGTGTACATTTTGTGCTTTATTACGCATATGTGTTAAAATCTCTAGCCAGTTACCCGAAGCAGCTGACAGCTTCTTTAAAGTTAACTCATATTGTCTATCCTCAACTATAGAGCCGGGTATACTTAATATACCCATACTGGCTGCTTTACCATAGACATCCGGTCTTAAGGGTTTTCGTTGTAGGGGATTTTGTAGATTAGGTGTTACGTTTATGCTATCAATTTTGCAAATTAAAACCGTACATTGTTTCTTAAGATTATCCAGTGGAAAATAGCAAGTAACGCCTTTACTTTCAAAATGCACCAGCGGTAATTCGGATGCTATTATAATATCTTCTTTATCACTTTTACATTCCAAATTTTGCGGATTTTTCTCCAATATTACACACAAAGGTTCCATAAATTCCTGTACACGATCTAAATCCACAATAATTTCCATAGCTTGCATTACTATTAAAATTTCACTAATATGACGTCCCACCTCGCCTTTCCGTTTGACACCAATACGTTTATAGAAATCTTTTAAACTGACTTTAGTTAAGATGATGTTGAGGAATGGATGTTCATTGCTTTCGGCTATCATACGCATGCGTAAATATTCCTGTTGCAACCAATCATATCTGTCGGATTTTTGATAATAGTTTAAACTGAAATTACCAATTTTACTGGTGTATTTGGTAAAATCTTGTCCTTGATCTACGGTGGAGAGAAAGTCTTCAAACTCTACCACAAGTTTACTTTTATGCGTTTGCTCGCGGGCACTTTCAACTTCGGCCACAACTTTGGCAATGGTCCACTGACAAAAGAGGGATATTTTGTTGAGAATGGATTTCTCTGAAAATAAGGTAACGTGTTAATAGGATTTTTTTTTATATAACTTAAGGGATAAATTTCCTACAAGCGTAACTGCCTTAGCAAAGAAAATGTGTATTAAAAATAAGAAAAAAAATCAACTTACTCTCATTAGTTGGAAGAGCCGAGACATCCGAATTACTATCCAAATCCATAAACTCCTTAATATGTTGATTTTCTTCCGAAGAAGTCAATATCATTAAAGGAATCTGCGAAGTTTTTGTATTACTTTTCCGTTTACTCGATGATGATGATGATGTTGCTGAAGTACTGGAAATCTTTTGTAACAATTCCAAAACACTCATTAAGTGGCCACAATGTAATTGTAATATCTTAACATTATTACCAAACAAATGTATGGTAGAAGAATCTAAATGTAAATTAAGACAAACTATCTCCTCAAATTTTTCATTATTTCCGCCACTATCCATAGTGGTGGGCTTTGAACGTAAACTGGGTTTAGGTGAGGGTGGTGGTGAACGCTCACTACCCGAGAAAATCTCCTTTAAAGAATTCGATGAGACTGAAGAGTTTTCTATAAGTTTCGTGGAACGTTCCTTTGGATTTTTACTTTTCGGTTTTATTATGGGTGAACTTGTGCGCGATTGTGATTTAAAAGTATAATCTAGATCGGTATTAATGGTAACAGCTTGTTTGCGTTTAGTGGTGGCCACAGTTAATGTAGTTTGCCAGGGTTTTAGCACTGGCATTATATTACTCTCTTCAATGGTTTTAATTTCCATATCTTGAAACTGTATGGTCCAGTTGAAAGTAGTTTTCGCGTTGAGTGGCGGATTAACTTTTAGTCTCAGACTAGATCTAGTTATATATTCTGCAAAAGTGGATTTTAGCAAAATTTTCGGCAGTTTAAGTCTAGTATATAGTTTTTTTAAGACATCCTCATTGTGAGTTGTTAAACTAGCATTGCTGACATCCAATTGACTTTGTGCTATATCGATATAGATTATAATGGTGTTAAATAGTTTGAAGTACTTTTTTATTTTATTTTCATCACTTTCGGGTGGTATTTCATCGGGTATATCGATTATAATGGGATCTGTAACTGTCAGTTCTAAGCGTTCATCCTTTTCCGAACTAAAATGTATGGTTTCTTCGGGTTGAGATATTTTTCTTAAAGAACTAGAGTTACGTGATGATTTACGTCCAAAAACTTGTGGCATTGTATTATTGGCTTGATAGATAATCGAGGTGGAGGGGGCGGAACTGGTAACATGGCTGGCTGGCATTGGAGGATTTTGTAAGTTTTGTGTTTGTATTTCAATTTCTGTGGAAAAATCTTTATTAAAGTATAATTAGAAAAATATCTAAATAATTTTTTTTTAACCCAAACTCACCTGTTGTTAATTTATTTTCTTCTTGCGTAACAAAAGATAGAAAATCCAATAGATTTTTATCGGCATTTAAGTTAAACTTTTCTATCCATACACCTATGGCCATTTCTATATAATCTTTAGCATCTTTTTTAGAGGATTTCGTTTGACTTAATGACTGTTCATCTTGGGAGAGATTGGGATATTGCAGTTGTAACTCCAACCATTTATTTTGATTGTTATGCATTTTAGCTTGTGTATTTAGGACATTATAGCGGCGTAATTGTGAAGTTTTTCTGCCAATTACTACATCCGACTGTAAAGCTGCTAAGTTAACATTCCATATGCCAAAGCTATGATAATAACGTTGCTTTACCATTAATTTCGATAAAACAGTATTTAAGGACATTGTATCGGCTAAGACCTGAGAATGATTTAGTACCTCTACCATTTTTATGACCATTTGTGGTTCATAGTTTAAGGCAGAATAAAATAATTGCAGCCCTGCTATTAATTCCCTTTTGGTGAATTGTAATTTAATAATATCACATTGTAAATCCAATTTTTTAATAGGAACTTCATCTGTTTTCCAATAATGAGGTTGCAATAAACTGCCATAATTCAACTGTAATTTGGGTATGGTCAACAATCTTATTAGATTATCGGTAGAGGGTGCTATCAGACCCATGGAAAAGTCTTTGATATTTAAATCATAATTATCATAACAGGCGTTCAATAACTCCTGAGGTTTATCCGGCAACTGGCAAGTAGTATGAACTAATTTATCGGGATTTAAGGGAGTTGAAAGAGTGCCTTCAACTTTATCAAAATACAACAGCATGTAGGGCAAGCTATTCCTAACAGCATTGGGCAGTTTTCTATGTATACGTAAGGAGGGTTCCGGTTCAGTTTTAGCATAAACTTCTACACGCATACGTTTAAGTTCAATTTTATATTTACACAAGGGTACACCCTGCATTAAAGCATCATAATCTTCTACTAAGGGCGGATGTAACTTAGGTGATCCCTCTGCTAAATGTCCACTTGTTCTAGCCATTAAGTGAGATCTTGCTTCATCTGTTTCCCCTGGCTCACCACCAACTATTACATTGCTATGTTCTGTTGGTATTAGGATTTTTTGGGTATTTGTTGCAATTGCAGTATTTGTCTCCGTTTTCTCTACAACATTTGATGAATATGCTGTTGAATCGTATGAATCTATTATAGTTTTAATCACATTTTTAACCTGCAGAAATGTTTGATTATAGCGAAACGTTATACCAGCCGCTAGGACGCGATATTGTCTATATAAATCCATTAGTTTTCCTTCATTTGATGTATTTGTTAGGCTGGCTGGTGATGAGGGACCCTCTTGGCTCTCTGTATGGTTTGAGCGATAACTTATAACATCAAAAGCAAATATGGGACTGCGATAGAGTAAATAGTCATCAGTGATCCGTGTCATATAATCATCGTAATTTGTGACACCCCAGCCTTTGTCAGCAATCATGCATTGATCATCGAACAAGGATTTATCAATGAAAGAACGTATGTTGGTGAACTGGGAGAAAGACCAAAAAAAATGTTTACATAAGTTTTTAACGAAATTTATAAAACTTTTTTCAAAATTTTTAAATTTTTGGAGAAAAAAAATATTTTTAGCGAAAATTTTTTGGTGAAAATATTTTTAAGTAAAATTTATTGGTGAAAATATATTTAGTGAATTTTTTTAGGGAAACAATTTAAGTGGAATTCTTTTGGTGAAATTTTTGGAGAAAAATATTTTTACTGAACTTTTGATAAAAATATTTTTTGTAAAAAGTCTTTGGTGAAAACTTTTTCATAAAAATTTTTGTTAAAAATATTTTTATTGAAATTTTTTTGTTAAAAATTATTTTGGTAATTTTGTAGACAAATTTTGTTAGTAAACTATTTTCAGTGAAATATTTTTAGTAAAAATATTTAAAACAAAATTTATTGAAATTTTCTAGAGTAGAAATTTTTTTAAAAACGTTTTTGTTTTGAGAAATTTTTACAAACAAATACATAGATTCCACACTTACCGGAGCTGTATCTATTATAGCATAACTATTCGTCTGATCATCAGTGCGATAACTACCCAAAGGCTCTACATAAATACTAGATATACCCATTTTCGTATTGGACCACTCCAACTCCTTTGACATAACACGCTCCCAATATAAACCGCCAATAGTAAAGCGTACAATAGGCATATAACGTATACGTTTAATACCACCCATTATAGCATCATTAATAAATTCCGAATTCTTCAGAGTCAAATTCAACTCTTCCACATAAATACCAATGTCCTTCGTATGACCTACAGGATCGTCTGTATGGCCTTCATCTTTATCCTCATCTACTAGATTAAAACTGGGCAACATATTCCATGCCCACGATAAGTATGTGCCGCCACTATTTGCTTTATTTGAGGCCATATCTGATGCACCATAATCATCTGGTGCCGTTGAAGAGGCATCGGAAGCATTTGATTTTTCTGGCACCATTTGTGTAATGAATTTTATGAGACGCATTAGTAAAGGTATTTGCATTGTGGAAATATTTAAATCGAGATTTTGGGTAAATACACCTATACGCGTTGTACTGCTATTGGCCATGGTTTGGCAATTGTATTTGCGTAAAACGCGGCATTCTAAAGTGCAACTGAAAAAATAAAAATATTGATTAATTTAATGAAAAATTTGCATTATTTTAAAATAAGTTCAACCCTACTTACCGATACATTACCGGCTCTTGACAGACATCAATTTGACCCGCATCATTACGTTTATCCAAACATATGGTCAAATCGGAAACATTTATTAATTTCCGCATCAACACCTTATTTGGATTCACATCAACCATGGCCAATTGCCACTGTTCATTGGCCGGACCATAGCTAAGATGCTGAACATTCATAGATACCACAATGTCCTCTTCTATATATTTCAAAATAATATTCTGACATTGGACATTAATATTATTAAGAATTTTGGTGGCCAAACTGGAACCCATCGATGAGGTATCCTCACGCTCATTGTTACGACTGCTGGCACTAGTCACCTCCGACGTGGACTGATGTTGTGGCGAACTGCTGCCCGCGGGAGACTTACTGCCACTACTGTCTTCACGATTCGATTTCAATACAAATTCGATTGTATTAATAGATATGCGTATAGGTTCTGAGGTAATTTTAGTCCAGGGCACCGAAATGACTAATTCGTGTATATGACCCGAAAGAAATTGAAAAGGCAAATCTAATTCTTGTTGCAACACGTCTAAACGTAAATCCAAATTATGGAATGTTACTTCACCCTCCCATAAGGAAACTTGAAAATCTTGTGGTCGTATATTTTTGACATATTTGGTCAAATAGTTCAGTATAAGAGGTGTTATATAGGATTCGATTTTAAACATTTTAACGCCTCTAGAGAGCACTTAAATATTTTAGTTTCTATTTGTTTCAAGCGAAATTTATAACATTTTTATAAATATTTTCGAGTTAATGTACTTAGCATAATGCCAATTTTTTCACTTTTTTTTAATATTTTTAACACAAATTTAATATTTTTTCGAAAAAATCTAGCAGAATTAAAATAAAATTTCACACGTCAATGAAAATAAATTCTTTGGCCAGCTGTTTGAACAGCTGTCAAAAGGGTTACCAAGCTCTCAAAAACCGATGTAAACAAATAAAAGCCGGTTAAAATTAGTAATGCCAGATTGCTTGAAATCAAGTAAACAAATCGCAGCTGTTTAACAAAAACAGAGTTGTTTAAGCCACAAGTTAACCCAGGGCATGGTATAATAAAAAAGGTGAATGCTATAAAGCAGATTATTTTTGTGTAAAGAATGAATCAATATTTGTTATTGTATACATGTTATGAATGTTATATGTTTACATTTATTATATTATTTTTGACAGTAAGCTAATTCTAAAACAAAATACATGTTGTTTTTGTATTATTGTAGTTATGCATTCATCTATCTAGTTATGCCAGACCCAGGGTGTACTGAATATAAGGTGACGTCATTAGCCCATCTGATAATTTTTTCCAATTTTTTATACATGGCCTTGTATACAGACTTAAACTGCACGTTTGTTAAAATCCATAAAAAAAATTGACTATCGCGCGTTTGCTCTCAAGCAATGTTACCTTGTTAAGTATACCATGAGTTAACCTTTCTTTTAACAGCTGTGAGGAATAAGTTTGCGTGTCAAGCTTTCTAACAAATTTTGTTAATTTTTTTGAAAATATTTAAGAAAATGCCTTTATCGCCACAAAAGAAAGATGATTTTGGTAAGTTTTTGTGAAGATTATTAGAAGTATTTGTAAATTAATTTGTGTTATTATATAGACGTTGTCAAATATTTCCTTAAATTGCTGGACGATGACAAGGATCTCTCATCTGGCATTGCGGCCATTAAAACTCTTTTAATGATTTTGGAAAAGAAACAATGTAAGTAAATGTATTTTTCTTTAAGGGGCAATGAATGTTTAATTATATTTTTAGTTGGCACTATTCATATTTTACAAAACACAATGCAAGAAGCAGTGGCCGCCATGCGTAATACAGATCTTTCCATAGCTGCTGTGGTTTCGGGCGGAGAATTGTTTTGTCGTTTTATTACTTTAAGTTTGGATGATCGAGGCATGGAAGAGTGTCGCGAGATTATGTTAAATCGTGGCAAAATATTTTTAACCAAATTGTTGAATTCACGTAATGTTATTGCTCAACAAGCTCAAAAGTTTATTACCGATGGTTGTCGCGTTTTGACCCATTCCAGATCCCGTGTAGTGTTAAAGGCTCTATTGACAGCCGCCAAGGCTAATAAACAGTTTCATGTGTTTGTTACACAAGGAGGACCAGATAACTCAGGGTGAGTAGGAATATTTTGGGAAATTTTTTATAATAAAAAATATTCCATTTTTAGAGAACAAATGATAGCTGAATTAGAAAGAGCTGGTATAGACTGCACCATGATATTAGATTCTGCCACTGGTTATGTTATGGAATCGGTAGATTTTGTGATGGTGGGAGCGGAGGCAGTGGTAGAAAGTGGTGGTATTATTAATCGTATTGGTAGTTTTACCATGGGTCTGTGTGCCAGAGAAATGAAAAAACCTTTCTATGTACTAGCCGAAAGTTTTAAATTTACACGACTATATCCTCTAAATCAAAGAGATTTGCCAGATGAATACAAGGTAACAATTTTAACAAGATTTTCAAAATCTTTAGTTATTTGTACTAAAATATTTTTTTTCTTTTTATTTCATTTTAGTACTCACGTAAACACTTGAGTGATGTTTCCAAAGTTCATCCTTTGGTAGATTATACACCACCTGCTTATATTACCCTACTTTTTACAGATTTAGGCATTTTAACACCTTCAGCTGTAAGTGATGAATTGATTAAACTCTACATGTAAACAACTTGACTTTGAGCAAAAACGTTTTATGGAAATAAATATTTTTTACATAAATACATATTTCTTTAAGAAAAATCAACTTGTGTTGTTTTAAATTCAGTAGTAGATAATAAATAACAGGTAGCAAGTGAATTGCAGAAGAACAAAGTAAAGTAATTCGATTATTAGAAGCTAATGAAATTCTTTGTTAAAGTAGAAAATATTTATTAAACAAATAACTACTACTACCATAAATTGTCATTCTCATCATCGTCTTCATCATCTACATCCGCACTGGAATCTGTGGTATATTCATCATAATTATATTCATCATCATCGTCATCATTATTATCGATATACTCATCATCGTCATCATTATCAAGACGATTAAATTCGGCAGCCGCCTAAAAATAAAAACTTTTAACTTCTGCTCTATTCTAGTATTAAATTTAAACATACCACTTGTCCAGATTGTATATTTATCTCAATCTGTAAACGTATATCCATAATTAAAAATGCAGTTGTTACCAAAACTGGTATAGTTAAGCGACTCTTCCAGGCTAAATTAGTAAGAAACATAAAAACTTCACCAAACGGGGAATTCATTGTTATCGTTTTGACCAATGGATTTTTTGTAATAAAATTAACGACTAGCTGGTAAATTTTCATCCAGTTCTTCGGCTGCTTCTTGCTCCAAACGTTGCTCTTCCAATTGATCGTATTTAACAATATGTACAGTTTCTCCCACAGTTACCGGTTGTACGGGTTGTATTTGACGATACAAGTTTTGTACAGCTGAATCAGAATTGGTAATGCTAGCTTCTAACTCTAGCAAAATATCATTATTTAAACCCTGGCTGGAATTATTCTGCAGCATAGAGCGCAGACAATCCTCTCGCTTTTCCGCTAAAGCGTCAACAAGCTTTGAGCCTTTTTTGAGTTTTTCAAGTTTACGTTCTGGCAGGAAAAGAAAAAAAAAAATCAATTTATTTTGCAAAATTTCATTTGAAAATGAAATATTCTCCCCCGCCCCCTTATTTTATTGATAAATTAAAGGCGTAGTTACCTAAACTCTGCAAATATGTTTCCGAATCAGGGAGAGGTTGGTGTTGTGAGTCAACGACTTCCTTGGATGTATCTTCAGCACTAGTAGCTTCGAATGTGTTTGAATTTTTATCTTTTTCTTGTATGAAACTATCCTCAAACCCCAAAGTTTGGGAATCGTTTCTTAGATCAGCACTTTCAGTAGGAGAATTTTCTTTGGACTCTTTTGTGGAATTATCTTGTCGTATAACTTCGTTTGTACCTTGGACCGACCAGGGATCCGTCATGTTTTGATGTATTTGAGAAGAAAATTTAACTTTATATATTTTTCTTCAGTAATGTCTTAAATTGTTTATATCCCCTATAAGAACAGTGACAGTCATTTGACCGGTCAATTGACTGTCACTACTGAGAATATACCCATCATTGCGTAGAACAAAGCTCCCATCACTTTCTTAAGGGCAATATGTAAAAAGTGATGGAAACATTTGTGTACATGTGATGTTGCATCACCCTCGCACTTATGAATTCTATCGACTTTAAAACATATATTTGAGCTGCTCACTCTTTTGTTGTTTACTAATCATGGATGATATAAATATTAGTCATGATTGACTAATCATGCTTGATGGATATATCCATCACAGTTAACAAATAAAAAAATGATGCATTAATCGGTCATTGTTGACTAATCACACTTGATGAATATATCCGTCAAATCTGACGGCTATACCAATTTATAATAAAACACAATTTATTGATATTTTAATATATATATATATATATATATATATATATATATATTTTGTTAATTTTATTAATATAGTAATCATATACATAAATTACCAGTCTTTTCACCATTTTACATATCTCGCAGAATCTTAAGTCCTCTGATGCTCCTATTAATTTGTGGAAATAAGTTGTCTGTAAAGAAATACATAAGTATTCATAAATATCGAAATACAAAAATCATAAGTACATATTTATGTTACCATTGATTGATTAAACTTCGAATTGTTTATCTTCTGATCCACTTCCTGAACTTTTTTCAAATTTAGTTTATAATAATTCTCTTTATTTTTAATAATTTAAAGACTTTGTAATTTTTTTATTTTTTCGCTTCTTGATCTTTGGCTTTCGCAGAAACAATTAATTTGTAACGACGAAAAATACAACTCTGTAACACAGTGACAGTCATTTGATCGGTCATTTGGCTGTCATTGTTGATCAAAATATAAATTTTAATACATTTTAATCAAAATGTAGTTGTTTCATTCTTTCATATGCAAATTCAACCCTATACCACACATTGGGTCCAGTAACGGTCATTTTACCGGTCATTTGACTGTCATTGTTGATGGAATCATCCATTAAATTTTTTTTTCGACAATTCTATAAAAAAAAAATGTTGCGTGTGTGTTAGTAAAATCATTTTGTATGTGTTAGTTTCGGTCATTCATTTCTTATAGGGTCGCCATTGATTACAAACCAGGGGTGGTAAACTGTATATGTTGGTATTTATATTTCGGTACTTTTTTGATGCTTGAACATTTTTTCTTTTAATTTTAAATCTTTTGCTTAATTTCACATAGAAGGTGAAGTCATTTAATTTGCTAAATTTTTTATCATTAAAATTGAGCATAAACTGTCAAACTTTATCAAATTTTGTATTTTTATCCCCTTATTCACAAACAAAATTTTTATTTTATAAACGATTTATAAATTAGATTTTGTATGGAAATTTTGTTTTATAAACCTTTTATAAAATAAAAATGTTGTTTGTGAGCAATTTTTGCTGAGTTCGATACACAAACACGTACATATTTTACATACGAGGAAGATTTTGCTGTGAGTTTCTATAAAAAAAATTTTCTGAATCACAGCAAATGTAAAAAGGGATTTGCTGAATCAAACCAAAACTCGTGGCAACTCGTGGCTCATATGTTTATTTTTTTTTGTTAACACTTCTAAGTGACTGCTAGCATAAAAAGAAGCTGTTGATAAACTAAATTTTTTGAACACATTTTTTGTTTTAAGTTTTATTTCTGTTTAAAAATATACAAAAAGAATAGTAAATTTATAAAAAAAATGGTGACAAAAATGCTACAAGATGACAAAACATTGGAGGATGTCAAAATACGTTCAATGAATTGTGAATTAAATCCACTAACCAGAGCCGATGGTTCTGCTTTGTTTGCCCAAGGAGGCACATGTGTTATAGCTTCTATGTTGGGACCTGTTGAAGTGAAATTGCAAAATTTAAAGATTGATAAAGCTTATGTCGAATGTATGTATAGACCAAAGGCCGGTTTACCTACAATACGTGACAAAATGCGTGAAGCGGTTATTAAGGACACATGCGAAGCAGCGTTATTGACCGCCCTACATCCCAGGACCATGATTTCTGTGCAGTTGCAGGAACTGGATGATAGAGGAGGTGTAAGTATTCAAAAAAAAAAAAAAATTATTAAATATTTTTTTATTACAACTAAAGATATATCTATTTCCAGTTGGATGCCTGTGCCATTAATGCCGCATGTATGGCTCTAGTTATTGGTGGTGTACCCATGAAATGTACAGTTGCTGCTGTCCATTGCATTATTGACAAAGACGGCCAACTAATTTTAGATCCTGATCAATATCAAACCAAAGACCATCGTGCCAGCTTTACATTTGTGTTTGATTCTTTGGAACGTGATTTGGTAACAGTCCACAGTATGGGTTGCTTTAAAATGGCACATTTCAATGATGCTCATTTAATGTGTCGTGCTGCTAGTGGTTTAATATTTGATTTTTATCGCAAAATAATGACTAAATTTCATAATAAAACTTTGATTGGGGAAAAAGAAAATTCAGAAAGTATGAAAGAATAAAATATTTTTATATTTTCACTAGTAACAATTTTAGTTTTATTTTAAACTTTAGCATAAAAATCTTGTAAATTTGTTATATATAATGGATGTCCTTTTAGAACTTGGGAATTTGTTTCCTCAATATGTGCTACCACAAAATCTCCCACAGCAATTTCTTTAGTCTGTGGTTCATTTTCTTTGCAGGACAAGGGCAAACTCTTGATAGGTACAATTACTTTGATATTGGCATCATTTCTTCCAAATACGCAATCATCGGATCGTTTACTTTTTCCTTCGATTAATATTAATTCTCGGCGCCCTTCATACATTTTATGCAATTCTGTGGCGCCTTGTCGAAAAGCCTTAACCATTCTCTGTAGTCTGGCGGTCTTCACATCAAGCGGTACATCATCTTTATAGCGACGATGGGCAGTAGTTTTTTCTCTCGTGCTATAGGCAAACAGGAAAGCAACATTATAGCGTACTTGTTCTATAAGTGTAACAGTATCTTGAAATTCTTCTTCAGTTTCGCCACAAAAGCCACAAATAAAATCACTAGATAAACCTACATTCGGTAAATATTCTCTTATAGTATCTACCAACTGCAAATAGGCCTCCCTGGTATAACCGCGGCGCATTCGTTCCAAAACATTGTTGTTGCCAGATTGTGCTGGCAGATGCAAATTCTTACATACATTAGGATAATCTCTGATAACACGTAAAACTTCTTCAGAAAAATCCTTCGGGTGAGGAGAGGTAAAACGTATGCGTACATCGGGTACTGCTTCAGCAACTTCTTGCAGTAGCACTGAGAAGGGGAGACCTCCCTTTTTGGGTTTATACACAGTCTTAAAGCCGGGAGCTAATGATACATTTGACTCAGTTTCTTTGGAGATATCTCTGTAACTATTAACATTTTGCCCTAATAAAGTAACTTCTTTGACTCCATTATTTCTCAAATGTAAGACTTCTTGTTTTATGGATTCCACATCACGAGAACGTTCTCTACCTCGTGTAAAAGGTACTATACAATAAGTACACATATTATCACAACCTCTCATAATGGAAACAAAAGCTGTAGGTGAATCAGTGTTTAATCTTACAGGCATAACATCTCCATACGTCTCATCTAAACTTAAAATAACATTAATGGCTGATTGCTGATAATGGCGGGAAATAGCCAATAATCTGGGTAGATCTTTATAACTATCTGGACCAGCTACCACATCTACACATTTTTCTTTTTCCAATAATTTCTGTTTTAATCTTTCCGCCATACATCCTAATACAGTAATTTGTAAAGGACCCTTTTTTGCCGACCTTTTTTCTTTCATTGCTTTCAAATGATTTAAACGATTCCATATTTTACTTTCCGCACCTTCTCTTACAGCACAGGTCACTATCATGACAACATCTGCATCTTTGACATCCTCAGCTTTAGTATAGCCATTAGCCTTCATGATGGACCACACCACCTCGGTATCGTTGGTATTCATTTGACAGCCATAGATTTCAAAATGTACCCTACGCCCTTGACCCTGGTAGCTATCTAAGGGAAGATAAGGTATTAGATTTTCTTCCGGTGGGGATACGCTTTGTACGGGAGTGTTTAGTTTAGGTTTTACATTGAAAAATTCTTGTAGACCGGGACCCGCCGACACACGTTCTAAAAATGTTTCCCTGCTAGAGGGTTTAGCTGAGGTACTGTGATTTCTACAATTTGTTAAGCAACGTATTGAGTTTCTTTGCTGTCTGCATATATTATAAAGTGTTTGAAGTTTCATTTTTATTTAATTTTTTCAAATTTTCACTAATTATACAATAATTGCACAAAATTAAGATGTTTTGGTATTTAAGGCTAACATTTTACAGTGAATGTTTAAAAAACATAAACAAGACACAGTGTTGCCTAGTTTTATTTATTGAAAAAAACTAAACAAATAAAAACACAAAATAAATAAACAATTTTTATTAGAAATTGATGCTTTAAAATATTTTAATGAAAACTAATTGAAAAATGTTAATTGTTCCCAAAATAAATTAAATAACATGGTTAAGTTTATTTATAATAAAGAATAATTTGTAATGCAAAAATCTATAATATGAAGCGTTTTTTAAACTGTGATATTGCAAACATTGGTTCGCATTGATTTTATTTTGCAGGAAAAAATGGAAAGAATCTGACGAATCCAATATTTTTCTTTAACTTGAATCTCCCACGTATAAAAATATTTATATTTTATAAGAATATTATTAAAATATAGTTTAAATAGAATTGTTATAGTTCAGCCATAAAAGTGTGCGTTTTATAATGTTAAGAATACGTCGGCGTTTTGCCCTGGTGCTCTGTGCCGTTTTCGTGGCAATTTTCTTGGCGGTGTATTTCCTAATCAATTATGCGGCACCGGCCGAAGATAACAAGAAACCTAACTTCATGAATCTCGATAATATTGAAGCGCTAAAACAAAAAATGGATTTGCCCAAAGTGGTAGAAACGAACAATTTAGTAACTAATAATGTGGGTGAGAAACCCCAAAGACAAACGGAACATTTTAAGAAATCTGGGC